TTAATCCTGCTTATAATAATATTTTCAAACAAATCAGTAAAATTATTATTGTTTGATTAAAAGTATTCAGTTCAGCCGGGCGGTGGTGGCGCACGCCTTTAATCCCAGCACTCGGGAGGCAGAGGCAGGCAGATCTCTGTGAGTTCGAGGCCAGCCTGGGCTACCAAGTGAGTTCCAGGAAAGGCGCAAAGCTACACAGAGAAACCCTGTCTCGAAAAAAAAAAAAAAAAAAAAAAAAGTATTCAGTTCAGTGCTGGGGATGTAATGCAGTTGGTAGAGTGCTTTCATAGAATGCAGAGCCCTGGGCACAATCCATGCACTACATAAACTAGATGGAGTATGGTGGCACACATCTGTATTCAGAAGGCAGAGACAGGAAGGTCAGAAGTTCAAACTCATCCTTAGCCACATAGAGAGTTCAATGTCAGCCTAGGTTAAAAACACTGCATTGAAAATTTATTAAAATGAAAAATAAAAGTGCTCAGATCAGCAGAGATATAGTGTCCATTACAGTTATGTTACTAGAAGACTTTGCCTAACTTGGCAATTATATTGGCCTTAAAATACCTGAGTTCTATACCAAAAGTCAAACACAGATGTAAGTGAAAGTGAGTTACAAAATGTGGAAGCAAGATGACTGTAAAAAGAAGATTAAGTATGGAATATGGGAAGATAAGTCAAATACATAATCTGTTCATTCTTTCAATATCAACTTCTTATTCAAGAATGGATTGTTTGTTTCAACATACAAGACCAGTAAGCATTGTTCATATAAATACATAATATTCTCTTGATTCAATAAACCATTAATTGCCTAATTTTATCTTTCAGGAGCTCTGTAATAAAATATTGGATCAAGAACCCAAATCAGGAGACAATTCTCACTTAAAGAATATTAAAATATCCTGTGTCCTACTTTCATTAGAGACTCATCTTACAAGAACAGTCAAGATGGAATAGAAAGCTTAGCTCACCTAAAACTCTTGGTTTCCATGAAAGACTGCACTGTATTTCCTGAGAGACTGTTCTAAAATACTAGTCACTCTAGTATGTCCAGAAACAAAAAGCAATTAGCAATTGAAGGAGCTCAAATTATAGGGGTGCACATTAGTTATATTTGTCTATTTATGATATTTACATGAGAAATGTTTTTAGAATCTTTACAAGGCAATTTACATTTTAGATTAAGTATATGTTTAATATTGCCTGACTTCAATCTTATGAAAGAAATGATAAATGAATGTTATTGTATAACAAATGAGAATATTGGCATCTTGAGTGAGATTTGGTAGGACCTAACTCAAACTCAGTAACTTATGTCTATGCCCCTGCTCCTTCTCCTGCACCACATGTCATCAGGAAAGGTCCCTTATTAACGTTTGTGATTAATAATCAAGAAATACCTTGGGATAGATACAATTGAATCTGAATTAGAAATGAGAAACTGAAAGGGGTGTTCAAGTTAATCATATCGTATATATAAAGTAATAACAAAGAAAAAACATTGTTTTTTCTCTATGATCTGTGTGCATGCACATCTACATGCACATGCATATGTGTGTGTATCATAAGACAGCTAGATTTCTTTTTTTTAAGAAGTCAATATGGAGGAAATATAGTGACTTTGTAGCTGTTTCCCTCTGCCCACTCTATGTCATCCTGTAGGAATCATGTGACTTGAGAACTTGATTACAGTATAGGAGAGAATCATACTGTTTTTATGACCACTTCATTCCCAGTCACAGTACCTGTATTAAAATGTACATATGCACTCTGTGGGGGCTTCCAAGGTAGTCGAGCTCACTCTTAAATCTGGATAAGAGAATTCTGATATGTGATTCCATCATAATCTAGAGTGGCTTTTGGACTAGCCTTTCAAATGCACAAGGACTAATACATGGAGCAACTCGAGTGTTGGACAGGCAGCAGCCAGGACAGTTCCACGAGGAAATGAAACTCAGGACCATGTTTCACACGCCTCTTGAGTTTTCAGGTGACAGGCTTTTCCTAAAGCACAAATGTGCAGTGGAAACCCAAGTAAACCTTGAGGAGCTGAAGGGAGCAGAGAAATGAATAGAGACACCAAGTCCTGAAGAGCAGAGGGTGAGAACTTGGTGAACACTCCAGGCATTTACAGGAGCCTTTGAAAAGGTTTGTCTGAAGCAGAGCTATGCTGATCTCAGAACAGGCCTATACCAGAGTCATCTTAATAACATTTAGCAGCAAGCCCCCAATGAATTGAGTAATTCTGAAGTAAATTAATTCACTCTAAGAAAAAAAATTCAGTGTTCTTTATAACAAAAACTGCAGACAAGTTTCCAGTGTCAGTAGACAATCAAAATCACACAAGCAAAAAAGCCAGATATGATATTTATAGGGCATTGAAGGAGACTGAAGGCCATCAGCAGGAGCCATGCAGATGGGAGGGAAGTACTACAGTTATCAAATAAGGAACTGAAGGATATTTTCTAAAGGTTTTCTGTCTAAATTTTTATGAAAAAAAAGGCAGTTCACATTCATAAACACAGAAGATTTTGAAAGCATCCTTGCAATAGTGTGATTTGGCAGTTATAAGAACTTTAAAGTATGCAAGGTACCATACTGGACACTGGGAATGATAAAATAAATAAGAAAAAATGAGGCTTTGTCTTCATGGGACTTAAAATCCAAACCTGAACTGCAATCTACACCTTGTTTCCTCAGAATCATCTAGGTTGGCATGAGCTTTTCCTGGCTGCCCAGGGGTATGCTATGGAGGACTGAAAATGAAATGTTCATTCAGAGCTCTAGATACTTCGTTCTAGAGCTCAGAGTGAACACAAAATAACAAAGAAGAAATCTGATGTGCTTAAAGGGAAAAGCAAACTGGAAGTTGTTGCTGGAGTTATCGCCAGTCCTGCCCAGGCTCACAGCCACTCAGACCCAAGTAAACATACAGATGTTTATATCATGTTTGGCCTAATGATTCAGGCTTCTTGCTATCCAGTTTTTATATCTTAAATTAACCCATTTCTATCAATCTATAAGTTTCCATGTGGCTTGTGGCTTACAGGTACTTTCACATCATGCTTCTTCTGTCTCTGGCTGGCAACTCCTGACTCAGCCTTCCTGTTCCCAGAATTCTCTTCTTTTCTTATTCCACCTATACTATACTTCCTGCCTGGCTACTGGCCAATCAGTGTCATATTTATCAATCAATCAGAGCAACAAATTCACAGCATCCCCAGAACTTCCCCTTTTCTTTTTTACAAAAGGAAAGGTTTTAACTTTAACATAGTAAAATTACATATAACAGAACAATTATCAAACAAGAATTACAGTTACAATATTTAGTCTATTTATAGTATCTAGTCTATTTGTATTTGGCAAAATTAAAGAAGATATTCTATCTAGCCTATATTTGTGAGTCTAAGGTTTCATATCTAACTTATCTTTTATCATGACTAAGGAAATTATAACTACCTAGTCTTCAACTACATCAAAGACCTCAGAAGGATGTAATATTATCCAAGAAATGGGAGAAGGGTGCAAGCAACTTTCAGGTGTCTTTCAAGAGTAGACAGAGACACCTGACAGCCTGGACAGTCATCAAAGTTCCTCTGTAAAGTTGGGACATCTGTCTTCAGCCCACTGACCTAGAGTCTCTCAGTCACTTCTCTCTGTGTCCTGTAGAATCTCTGGCAGTTTCCTCTGTGAAGCAGGAACCTGAAGGACCATTTTACCAAGCAAAGTTCAGTGGTCACCTTTCCATGGGTCCTGCATGTCCAGTCAATCAAGCAGTCCAGGCAAGAACAGTTTCTTGCCCAAATGGCTATCTTTGCCAAGGTGAAGACAAACTCCATAGAGAGTGTCTTTGATGCCCATCCTCCTCTCTGAAGTAAATTGGTGCTGCCAGGAGCAGACATGTCTCACTGTCCAGAAAGTCTAAATTTTTAACACATTTTAAATGCCATATTCTGTGGGTCTTTGAAGTATTGGAAGATTACCTATCTGAAATATATCTATGTATACCTAGAAAACTTAACTAACATGGCTACAAGTTTGACTATCATAGAAGACTAATTATTAGTCTGTATTTCTTAATTATCCACTACAATTTAAATGAGTTACATAAACATAATACCTCCAACAAGAGTAGAAATGTGTATACAGGATAACAAAATTAAGTTTAAACTTGTATCAATAACCTAAAATCCATAGCAATATAAAACATTTCTAAACAAGTTGTTGCTCTTTAAAAGTAGGTTCATTAATCTACCCTTTTATCCTATCATTATCTATATTATCCCCCTTTCTTCTTTATAAAGAGATTGCATTTATAACCAACCTGCTTTAAATAAAAATACTGGGTTTTCTCTGTCCCACACCAGAGAGTTCTTCTAATATGGGACAGAATAATCTCTCAACCTTTTTTTTTTTTTCCCAATATGCTTAGGTTAGAGAAGGAATGAGCCAATTCCATCTCCAAAGCCAGTTTGATATATTTGGAAATTTGGGTGTAGCGTCTCATACTACTTCCTGCTGGATGAGGTGCTGTATTCTTATGGGGACATAAAGAAAATTTTAGGATTATGGAGTATTTCGTGAGGGTATATATATAATTGTCTGAACTAGTTGCCTTGAAACTGTTCTGGATGTTGGATCATCTGGGCCATGGTGTCATCAGAGACCTTTCAGGGGGTCTTGGCTGGTCAAACCTGATGTATCTTAATCTGGAACAAATCCACAGCCTCTGGCTTTCTGTGGAAACAAAAGCAGAACCTCTTTTCCAAAGCAACATATCCTTAAATCCAAATTTTGAAGTCAAGGTACCTTTAAAATATACATATTGGTTTAATTCAGTGGCCTTCATGATCAAATGTCTTTCTGCACTTAAAAATCCCAACGACACTTCCGGTTCCTCCCGCGCAGGAAGTGATTTCCGCTCTGCTTTCTGCACCGCATTTCGGCCTGTCTCGGGTGGGCTGTTGTCCAGTCGCGGTGAGGCCAGTGCACCGCAGCCATGACTCTGCCTCCTGAGTGCTGGGATTAAAGGCATTCTCCACTACCGCCCAGCCCAGTGTTTTTGTATTTTTAATTTGTCTTACAGGGTTGTTTTATCCCCATCTCATCTTCTCTTCTACCATTTTTTAATCTTTTAAAAAAATGAAAGGATACCTAAGACAGGTGAGAGGCAGAATGTCACCAGTTAACAGCAGGAATAACCAGGAAAAACCTAAGCCAGGAATAGTGTCTATTTTCACCTGCAAACTCATTCCTCTGTGCAGGGTAAGGTGAAGTAGCACTGGTCCCTCATGCCTTTGCATACAAGATCTCCATAAATGTTAACAGGACTGAAGATCTTTCTTTGGGGAGCAGTCCCTCCCGCCCACCATCATTTGTAGAGGAAGTTTGATAATGTTAAGCCGATGTCCAAGTGCCATTTATTAATGTTTGTGTGTTTAGATATGTGTAACCTTATATTCTCACCCCATTCCCTACTGAGGGTATCAAGGCAGTAACAAATCAAAGGGATGCTCTGCAGACTCGGGCAGCCTGGGTGAGTTTTACTGCCTGGATCTGAAGAGTGACAAGGACAAAATAGTCAGTTCATGCTGGAACAAAGGATTCTGGGGCTGGAATTTACCACAGAGACAATGCTATCAGGAACATCCTGTCCTTGGTTGAATGGGGAATTTTTTGTGGAGCCATTTGACACCCACTTTGGGAGGGAGACTTTATCCTTTTCCTCCCACAACATGGGTCAGATGTATTCTCTATCACATGAAGAGAGTGATAATAATGTTGTTCATTCTTGAGCATCCTAATAAAGAAATATGTTCCTACTTCATTTTAAATGAAAAAAAAAATCCCAACGACAACACAATCTAGATTCTCTGTGTGATATCCATCTTTACATGGCTTATTTTTTCTATTACTTTTACTTTTTTAAGGATTTTATTTTTTAAAACTTTCTATTTCTTTAATATAACTGTCTATATTCCTTTTCTCTTCCAACCCTATGTACATTTTTATACACATTGTAAACCATTTAAAGTCTTGTTCCATCTGAATCTGTCTTATTGTGAAACTATTGCTTTAAACTGCAGCGGCTAGTACTGAAGCAGAACCCTTGGCTGCTGACTCTGCCTAACTCAGCTTCCCAATATGGCGGTGGTACATTTACCACCAGCTCTGGATCTGAGAACCATGTGTACCGTCAAGTCTCAGAAGCAATGGGTCTATGCTTCTATCAAAGCAGCATGTAGCCCAGAAACCTCTCTTTTTGTCTGTTGTTTGTTTATTTGTTTGCTTGGTTTTTGTACTAGTAAAAGCTAAATCTGTTATGCAGTGCTCTGTGAGTTTTAGAGACCCCTCATTCCCGACAAGATGCACGTCTAGTCTGCATGCCACGAACCTAACCCGTAGGCTGCAGCTAACTTGAGAGAGACAACTAAGAAGCTTTTTTAGCTCTATTTTAGAATCTTTTTTCTCAGGTTTTAGGTGGAAAATCTTGCCCCATGTTCTGGCGCCATTTGTTGCTGGAGTTATCTCCAGTCCCGCCCAGGCCCACAGCCACTCAGACCCAAATAAACGCACAGATGTTTATATTATTTAAACTATTTGGCCTAATGATTCAGGCTTCTTGCTATCCAGTTTTTATATCTTAAATTAACCCATTTCTATCAATCTATAAGTTTCCACATGGCTTGTGTCTTACAGGTACTTTCACATCATGCTTCCTCTGTCTCTAGCTGGCAACTCCTGACTCAGCCGTCCTGTTCCCAGAATTCTCTTCTTTGCTTATCCTGCCTATATTATACTTCCTGCCTGGCTACTGGCCAATCAGAATTTTATTTATCAATCAATCAAGCAACACATTCGCAGCAGGAAGTAGAGAAAAGACTGAAGCTTTTCCAGAAGTTACTAGCAAATTCTTGAAAACAATACTGGTAACTTGTATTGAGTTTTTTGTATTCCAAAAATCCCTTCAAAGAGCAAAGTCCATTCCTTATGTTTCAAATAGATATTTGATTTCAGAGTGCTGTTTCTTAATGCATAAGATGTGGTAGGAAATAATTACAGGACTAGTATTGAATTCCAAAGTTATTACCTGAAGAAAATGTAACATGACATTTCCATATAATGAGACACTAATCACCTTATACCCTAAAAAAAATGTGACATAACAACTCTCAATATGAATGTAGAATCATTTAAATATTTAAATTACCTATTTGGTGACAGTAATTATATCAGAAGCACAGGTCTCTACTTCACACACACACATTGAAGAAGATACACGGATTTCTCTGGAAAGGGGAAATAGAATAGATTTAGCAGGGTAGACTGGGGGCATGTGGAATGAAAACAGAAGAGATCAAGTTGTAGGAGGGGTAGAAAGAAAGAGTATGGGGAGAGATGACAGGAATTGGGGGGAATTTGAGGGGCAATGTGGAAACCTAGTACAGTGGGAACTCCCTGGAATCTATGAGGGTGACGCTATCAAAGTCTTCTAGTAATGGGGGTTCAGGATCCTGACCAGGCCATATTGTGTAACCAGGCAAGATTTCTAGCAGTGAGACTGGAACACCAACCCAGCCATAAAATCTTCTACCTACAATTTGTCCTGCCTGTAAGCTGTTCTGGGGAATGGTGGGACACAATTTGTGAGAATGGCCAACCAATGACTAGTTCAATGAGGTGAGGTCCACCCCATGAGAGGGAACCCATGCTCAACCCTACCTGGATTGCCCAGAGACCTAAGATAGAACCAGCATAACACACACACACACACACACACACACACACACACACACACACACACAACAACAACAACAACAACAACAAAAAAAAAGGTAATGAAATGTTTCCTAATGATATTCTGGTATACTCAACCCAAATCATCAGAGAGCCTTCATCCAACAAGTGATAGGAGCAGATGCAGAGGCCCACAGCCAAACATTAGGTGGAGCTCAGGTAATCCCCTAGAAGTGGGAGGAAGGAGTGTAGGAGCCAGAGAGACACCAGGAGAACAGCCCACAGAATCAAATAAGCCGAGCTTGGGAGGGCTCACAGAGACTAAAGTGACAACTAGAGTGCCTATATGGGTTCTCTGCGTGTGTGTTATGGTTGTGTAGTGTGGTGTTCTTGTGGGATTCCCAACAGTGGGAGCAGAGGCTGTCTCTGACTTTTCTGCCTGCTCTTGGGACCCTTTTCCTCCTACTGGGTTGCCTAGTCCAGTATTGTTATGAGGGTTTGTGCCTAGTCTTATTGTAATTTTTTTGTGCCGTGTATGGTTAATATCCCTGGGACTCCTGCTTTTTTCTGAAGAGATAATGAAGAGAGTGGATCTAGGGGCAAAGGACTGGGACGGGAAACTGTGGTCAGGATATATTGTATTACAGAATAAAAAAATACTATGCAGATTCTTACCTTATGAGATGGCCTGGGGGCTTTGGGGGTCTATGTACATTGTGACAGGGCAAAAGAAGGCAGCCTAAGATGCTCCAGTCCCTGTGTCTGTACGAGTAACTTTCTCAGGGGCAATCCCTGCAAACAGCTCTATGATGTGGTTGTCTGTGCTTAGGTGAGAAGCATATAAGCAGGTGGGGTCTGGGGAACTCTATATTGTTCCTATTTTCTAAAAATCTCCACTAGTGTTCACAAGGTTTGTCAGCAATGGGTCAAAATCAATCCTCTAAAAGATTCAAACATTCACAAAAATACACCAATTTTATCTTTCATCCTTTTCAGTGTCTGTCTTGTGCAGACCTTGGAAGATGAAAATATTAGTTTATATCACATGTTCACTCACCTTTCTTTCTCAGACTTCTGTATTTAGAAGGAGCTACTAGTGTTGGCAGTAATAGTATTGTCCCCCAGAGCCTCCCTAACAGATGCACACAATGGCTGCTGAGAGTCTCAGGAGAGAAATTATTTTAAAGCGTGTTAGTACCACAAATGTCATGCAAATAGATACTATAGGAAAACAGAGTTGCTGTGAGAACTGATGACCTTAGAGCTTGCTGGTCTCAAGTAGCCTCTGTAAAAGGTCAATTAATACAGGAGGCATGATTAACAATCAGGATGTGACCAACATCTTCCTACTCAGACCCAGCATAAGCTCACTCGCCATGCAGACCAGGCAGCTGGCATCCGTCTTTGTAAACATCTCTACCTTCCGAAAGAGAACATAATTCTACTCCCCTGGTGTATTTCTTCACTTATAGCTGTCTGAATTGAAAAGGCAGATGTTTTATTTGGGGAATTGACTGCAAGGGTGATTGCTTTCAGGTGAAGCAGTTAATAAATTAAAATTTAGAGAGCAAGATAAGAATATTCAGGGAATAGAACTCAACCAGTTAAAGGAAGGGAGAAAAGATAGGAGGCTAGCTGTTCTTGGAATAGTGCCGTGGATAATTACATAATTAGGAGGAGATAGGAATAGAACAGTTGTATTGATTAGCTGTCTAAAAATTGCCCTACTGCTAAACCTGAAGCTAGACATTTTGTTACTGAAATAAAACATGTTGTACAAGCTTTGATTCCTATAAAGGCAAGTATTGCACTGAGGCATTGCACTCTATAGCTTGCCCCTGGGATTTAAGCTCCTTTTGAGCAAAGTCAGTTCCCATTTTAAAGTTGTCTGCTCAATTCCATCTCCAGCTCCATGAGTTCCAGTGTCTTCCATAACAGTTACCCGACAAACAGCCTTAAGAACAACCTACACCCACCCACTCCACCTCAATCCCCACTCCATCATGAATTTACTATCCTGGGGAGACCCAATACCTTGCTTCCCTGAGCACCCAAGACTTTCTAATCTCCTTCCCAAAACCTGGCTTCTTCTACTTTTGATAAACCAAACACTTCCATGCATTGCTATTTGTATTTAGTTTTATATATATCTGCTATTCCTTCTCACCTATGTTCACATTGTGGTTATGATGAAATGTTTGTTATACAAATAAAAACTGGAAGAGGAACAAAAGACTTAGTTCAGCACCAAAAGAAAGTGTAGAGAGAAGAATATTGCATGACCTTTTCTCTTTTGAGAGCAGACTTGATAATTCTTATTGCTACAAAGTGTAAAAACTTAGCAAATGTGGGAGAACGTGTGGGAACTTCCTTCTCTCCTTTATGGCTGAAGTATGAAGCAGCAGGAGCCAGGCTCATGAGCCTGTGGACAAGGCAGTGTGAGTTACAAGCGCCTTCCATCACCCTAGCAGCTTCCTTTGACAAACACAGTCTTCTATTCAAGGAGTGGTGCACACTTGAAAGTATAACTGAGAGAGTAGGCAGGGGACAAAACACACCAGGATTTGGAAGCAGCTTGGTGAACATGGGGCGGAATTCAGAAAGCTGAAGTGCTATCCCGTAGAGGAGAACTGATGCGGATCTGGGAAAGAGACACATGTAATTTGTCTGTAGGTGGCAGGCCCAGTAAGGAGAAGGACAAAGGGTTCTCTCCTCCACATGCCCAGCTCACAACAAGAACCTGACCATGGTTCTCACTGTCAGCATGGTCTGTGCTGTCTGTGTTCCATTCCCTGTAAACTAGATTCTGGATCATTATAATTTTAATATACTATATATCCTGTTCACACTACTGTTACTCAGTGGAACTGCTTTTGTGATTTCTTTTACACTGTATTTTAAGCAACTATAATGTTTGATGTACAAAAAAAAAAGAGAGAGAGAATAAGCACTCAGTAATGCTTTCACCCCCTTGGATGTTAAGGACCAAATGAAAGATATTTTAGAAGCAAAAGGTTTTGGTAAAGAAATGGAGAACTCAATCAGACAGAGGTTTAATTAAAAACTAATGAAGTGAGGAAGTTGGGCTTC